CCTTTTGTAATGGATCCCACCCACTTCTGAGTAAAGGATAAAGTCCAAAACAGCGTGCAAGGAACAGCCTTACCTCACCCCATTCACTTTCCCACAACTTTGATTACCACCACTCTGTGATTGTTGCAGCTGAGGTTCAGACCTTAAGTCTGGATAGGCTACACTACAAGAGGATCATCATTTTTTTTTTTTTTTTTTTTTTTAATGATCTTGTGCTCCGTGGTTCACAGAGAAATTCAGCAAACACCTTTATTAAAACAGTACTCCTTGTGACATATCAACAATTGTTCTGTGTTTGTGTTTTAAATTCTAAGACGTCGTTGACAACTGCTTTAAGAGGTGGGTTCTAGTTCTAACCTTTCTGATGGGTCAGGAAACTAAAACAAACATCGCCCAAGTTCACGAATGACAAGGCCAGGTTCCAAAACCCGACGTTTAAGCTCCACGGGCTGTCTCCTTAACCATGCTTTTGTGTACCCTTTACTAAAGTGCAGGTTCCCAGGCCCATCCACAATCAGAGTTTGAAGTATGGTGTTAAACATTTGAGGACTATCAATAGGCGAGCGCCCTCTAGTGGCTATACTCGACTGTTACACCATTCTCAGTTAAACGAGGTTTAAAAACATTTTTTTGAGATTACAATATTACAAATTTATTTGAGATTGCATCACTTCCCCCTTCTCTCTCTTCCTTTCAAGTCCTCCCATGTATGAGCCAGACTTTGTGATGCTCATGTATCCTACAGGCGTAGCAGGATAAATTATTTTCATTACGATGACTCTTTAATGACCTTTAATTTAACTTTGTCACTAGTGTATGAATAGTACCAGATGGCTATCATTAGCACCCATTCAGTTCCAGAATTTAAATATCATTAAAATTTAAATTACATGCCATGTGTCTATACGTTTGTTCATTTATTTATGCTTGTATGCACATGTGTGTGTGTGCATATCAAAGCACCTGCCGAGGTTAGAGGCCAACTTTTGCTGGTCAATTCTCTCCTTAAGCTTTGTGAGTCTCAAGGATCAAAATTGGGGCATTCACCAGATTTGAGGCAAGCACCTTTGCGCACTGAACCATCTCTCCAGCTCAAAATTAAATTTTTTTTCTGTAAGTCCACACCCCAACTGACAAGAGGGAAACACTACGTTCACTGTGCCAGTGGCAGATTTCACTCATTGCGGCTGCCGGGGCTTCCCTGCCATCAGAAACCTTCAGTAGGGGCTGCTCAGTTTATTTCACAACATGAATAATTTTAGATTTGTGTCCCTCGTTTTCCCTCTTGTCCTCTTTAGATGAAAGTTGGAAGGATGAGAATCCATTAACTATATATTTTATATATATTATACACATTTAGTAATGATATGTGTATAGATCTCCCCCATTTCCTGGGTAAATAACCGGATTGTTATTTATCCCCAAACAGGAACTGATAAGTAATACTTGTCAGGCTGGAGCCAAGTGTCTGTAAGTCCAAAGTCCCTAAGGTTAGAGGGTCAAACAATGATGACGTTTGTTCTCTCTGAGGCAACTGTCAACAGGCAGCTGTCAGGGGATGCAGAATGCTGCCCCAGCTCTTTGCTCAGACCGCATATTCAAAAGTAGAATGAACTCAGAGTAGCTCATCTGATCCCCACCCTTACATCTGTATCCCAGCCATTGAAGAACACCTCCTTTCCTTTAGCGGCCAAATCCAGAGGTGGCATACACATGTCTTCACATCCCACTGTCTGTAATTTGGTCAGAAATTTCAAGAGATTGGGGTTGGGTATTGCAGATAATCCACAGATAATGATAATGGAACTATTTATTTAGAAATTATATTGGGGAGAACAACTCACTAAACAGAATAAGGCACAATGGCCACAGAGTCCTGGAAAGTTGATGTCCTGTCCCACGCTGCGCCTGCTGCCTGAGTCAGTCTGCACCATCCAAGCCCAGGAGAGAGAGAAGAGTGCAAGGCGTGCATGCCTCTCAGGTCTTAAGCTAGCCTCGAGGCCACATCCTAGGGGCTGGTACCTCAAGGTCATAGGTGGAACAGGTACCCACTACCGTTGGGGATTTCTTGTGAGTAAGCTATGTGTCTATTTAAACCTGGAGTGCTGTTATTAGAGGAAGTGAAAAAACGAAATGGATTTTTGGTGGGAAAATAGCTCACAGGATACTTCCTTTATTTGGACAACTTTATTTTTTTTTTCAAGTGCTGATTTTTCACAGAAATTATGATAAAAATGTCCTGTGTTTCAACAACTCTAGTTAATGAGATGTTACAGTTCTTGCAGAGGTGCTGCTGGTTGTGCTGAAAGCCACGTTGTCTTCATGGGCCTTCTTGCTGGGGACTTCAGTATATGAACCAAGGCAATTAGTTGGGAAGCAGTTGCTGGTGGTCCCTGCACTGGTCACTCAATCATGCACAGATTACAGCTAGTTACCCTGCTTGAGATAAGTTATTTCCAGTTCCCCAACCCCACAATTCAAACGTTAGTGAGCAACGTTGGCTTACTGTGCAAAGTACAAACTTTAAGTTACCTCTTTGGCTCACAAATCATGAGGTAAATAGCAGTGTTCTTAGTGGTCACTGATCAATCGTGTTACTTTCTGAGCCTGCTTCATAGATGTTCAGGGTGCTGTGTGTATAGCTAATGCTGTTTCCTTGTCTCCTGGGGGTAGACCTGTGTGACATTTTATAACAATGAATGATTGAAAAGGGGGATTATTTAACAAGGGTGAAGGTGAAGGAAGGAAGGAAAGAGAAAGTGAGTGGTAACCATGGAAGTGAGGGTCTGGCCAAACTTCAGTGGAATTACAGGAGACATTACTGACCCAGGGATGACACTGTTCTCATCTGGAGGCACCTATACGAGGTGGAGAAAATCATTAGTCAAAGTTTGTCAGGACCATCTGCATGTATTTATTAAGAGAGAGGAAGCTGGGTGGTGGTGGTGGTGGCGGCGGCGGCGGCGGCGGCGGCGGCGGCGGCGGCGGAGGCGCACACCCTTAATCCCAGCACTGGGGAGGCAGAGGCAGGCAGATCTCTCTGAATTCGAGGCTAACCTGGCCTACAGATGGAGTTCCAGGGCAGCCAGAGCTATGCAGGGAAACAGTGTCTTGAAAAAACCTAGAGAGAGAGAGAGAGAGAGAGAGAGAGAGAGAGAGAGAGAGAGGAGAAGAGAGAAGCATGCATGTGTATGTGCGTATGTTTTAAGGATGTTTGAGTCTGGCAAAGCTCAAATCTGCAGCTCATCCATTATTCTATTTGATTGACTTAGGTTTGCACATATCTTGGAAGGTAGAATGTCCACCCACACAAATTTCAGTTTCATGTGAAACTACCCTTACATGAACATACAGAAAAATGTTTGGCAACATATCTAGGAAATGTGGCCCAGCATATGAAAAACAAAACTTATAGAAGCAGTTAGTGAGATTGTTCAGCAGGTAAAGGTATTTGCTACCAAGCCTGATGACTGGAATTCAGTCCTTTGGTCCCACACGGTAGAAGGAGAGAGCACCGATTATCATCTCACCTCCACAGGGTGCTGTGGTTCACAAGTATGTGTGCACACGCGTGCGGACACACACACACACACACACACACACACACACACACACACACACACACACACCAAATAAGATGTAATAAAAATTGTTAAAAAAATAAGAACTTACAGACGTCAAACTATTTAATACACACAAAGAACCTGTTAGAGTTGAATGAAGATGATCCAGAGGAAGTAAAGTGGGTTGGAAAGAAAAATAAGCTAACCAACCACCGCCACCACCACCACCACCACCACCACCACCACCGCCACCACCAACAACAACCCAACAACACTAAAGGCACTACTGGAATATTTCAAAAGACTGAAAGCCCAATATATGTAACATCTTAAGCTGGTCCAGAATAGAGACAAGTGCGACAGTTTAGCAAGGCCCAGGAAAGGCTCCTGCTCCAGGCCATAGCATATACAATAAGAACAAGGAGGTGAGCATGCTCAACCTATTCTCCAAAAGTACAAAGAAGTAAAACACCCCACATCTCAACATCACCAGTGTTTTCAATTGCTAAGTGGTTAATACCTCAGATATTCTTTTATTTGTAATTTATTATCACTTAGATTTTATGTGTTGACAAAAATACTAATGAGCCCCAAAGGACCCAACATTTTCTACTTATTATTAAGAATGACATGCTGCCTTTAGCTTGAGGGTCATTTTTATAGTCCTGCAGCACCATGCAGAGTGAGGTCTGCAGGTGGAGTAATTCATCTGAAGCCCCGATCTCATGGCTCCAACAGAGTTTCTGCTTCAGTGTTGGGAAGGCCAGTACTTTCTCTGTTTCCTAAAGCTCTTGGCTTAAAGGCAGCCAAGGACTTTCTAGATTCCAGCACTTTCTTCTATTGGGCACTTGTACTCTATTGATCAGACAGGAGCACTTTAATCCCACTGATGATTCATTCTCTCTCTCTCTCTCTCTCTCTCTCTCTCTCTCTCTCTCTCTCTCTTTTCAAGACAGGGTTTCTCTGTGTTGTTTTAGTGCCCATCCTGGATCCCATCTCACTCCATAGACCAGGCTGGCCTCGAACTCACAGAAATCCGCCTGGCTCTGCCTCCCGAGTGCTGGGATTAAAGGCATGCGCCACCACTGCTGCCCAGCCTGATTCTCTCTTCTTTGCGCCATCTTACCCACTGCTTCAGTGAGAGTGCATCAGAGGCCGGAAAGCTTCTGGCTTCCTTTGTCCCTTGATAAGCTTCCTTGCTCTTCTTCCTGACTTTGAACCCCATGCTCGAAGCCAATTAAAATTACTTTAACTAAAGAAAGAGCAAGTCAACCACACTAAGTTGCACCGCATACTTAATATATAGGGCTGTTGTTGCCTAGGCTGGTCTCAAACTTACAGTTTCTGTGTGAACCTTCTTCAGCACCCTAGGTTGCTCACCTGTCCTTAGCCCTCAGCCCCTTGGAGGTCCCCGTCTTCGTTTATACAGCAACCCACCTGCAGCAAAAAGCCTTTCAAATGCTGTTTTCCCTCTCTGCTTTCACCCAAAGGCTCTTCACTTCGAAGAAGCAGGTTCCAAGAATGGGGTAAAAACATTGCTCTAGGTAAATGCAAAGAACAAAGAGAACTGATTTGCCATCCAAATCTAAAGCAATGCCAGTCTGGTTTAAGATAAAACCTCTTAAATGTGTATTTTCCAATAGTCATCCCTCCCACCAGATGGGACACATGTCTGGGGATCTGGGTGGAAGCAGAGTGAGTACCTTTTCTTGACTAAGTATTGCTGTGGATGGTTGTTTGATAAATAAAACACTGATTGGCCAGTAGCTAGGCAGGAAGTATAGGCAGGACTAGCAGAGAGGAGAAAAGGAAAGGACGGGAAGGCAGGGAGGGGAGACACCAGCTGCATCCAGGGAGCATCATGTAGAGGCAACAGGTAAAGCCACGGAACATGTGGCAACATATAGATGAACAAAATTGGGCTTAGTATAAGAGTAAGAGCTAGACAATGGTAGGCCTGAGCTAATGGCTGAGCAGTTTAAATAATATAAGAGTCGGTGTGTTTATTTTATAAGTGGGATCTGGGACTGGCTGGGCTTGGTGGGAGCTGGAGAGAAACTCTGCAGTTACACAGTATCTTTTGTTGTGAGTGCTGTGAAGACAGGAAGGAAGCGAAGAGAGGGACACATAAGCAATGCTGAATTTCTTTCTCATTATATATGACGAGGGCTCCTCACAAGGTATCCAGGACTCACTATTCCTTGACTGCTTAAAACAAAGCACATGCACACATGTACCGCTACTTTGTCCCCAAGGTCTTTCTTCCCAAAGGACCCAGACTACCCTTTGGCTCCTGACATGAGAATGGTTGATACGGAATGAGAATGGCATTGATACTGAAGGGGTCTGATGGTCACATGGCCCTAAACCCTAGCAAATGTAACACTTTCAGTTCTTCCGCTAACTAAGAAGAAATAACTATACTGTCAGTTGAATATATTAAATACTTGCCTCCTGCCCCTCACAGTTCATAAATGACTGGCTCTGTGCTTGCTAGTTCTGAATCACCTTTTCAAAAACAAAAACAAAAACCCAAACAACCTTAAGACATAGTGAAGTTCTCCAGAATCAACTTCAATACTCTGTTTTAAAAATTGAGTGCTATTTCTACCTACCTGTGTGAACAGCCAACTAAAATTACTTTAACTAAAGAAAGAGCAAGTCAACCACACTAAATTGCACTACATACTTAATATATAGGGTTGTTGTAGTCTAGTCTGGTCTCAAACTTACAGTAATCTTCCTGCTTCAGCATCGCTTGTGTTGGCATAAAAGATATATTGACTTAAGGCAATTCCTCACTGATCTCTTAAGATTAAGAAAAGTCTGTATGAAGATGAAAAATTCAAAATGCAAATCCTAGGGCAAAATATTAAAGTCTCAAAAACTTTACATCTTTGTTAATTTCATTTTCCTCACAACCCCATGAGAATTCCTAAGTTGGTAGGAAGCACGCCAAGGCCATGTTTAGCAATACCTTGTTACTAATTAGCCTGTGTTTCTGTATCTGTTTGAAAGCAATGAAACAGAGTCAGTTTGATAAGACATGACTCACGTTTGGATATCACAGAGAATTGGTAAACATAGTGTAATTTAGGGAAGATGCTTGGAAATTGTGTATGTGCATGTTCGAGGTATGTATATACATATGTATGTGCCTATTTGTGAGTGTATGTGTGT